AATATTCAGGGATGTATGTATACAAGTGTGTGTATATATATAAAAAAATACATGCACAGGTTTTTAGGTCTTAGATGTGGGTGTTTTTTAGGTACAGGTAGCATGTACATAAGAAAATGTGCCTTTAATGTAGAACTGCTAATTGCTGTAAACATACATCTTCCTTTAGTTTACATGTGGGCCAAGTGTAACATTTTACTAAGCATTGATGTATTTCTCGTATTAATTACTAGCTCCTTTTTGTCTTATTGGTTTGTTATATTGGCTTATGCACAGTAGTCCTCAAATTTGCTTTAGTACTATCTAATCTGAGCTGTATTTATCTTGAGATAGTGGAATTTCTTTACCTACACAAGGTAAGATACTTCTTGACCTATGTTAGGTAGATAGTTATTTGATTTTGTCCTTTCAAAGAAAATCCTACCACAGGGACATGTTATTATTCTTTATTCCCATGTGAAATAATCTACTAAATGCGTACTAAAAACAAACTAAACACATAGTTTACCCTTTATTTTTTCAGATCCAGGTGCTCACAGGAAATGTTCAGTGGGTGGCTGTTGACAAAGGAGCAGATAGAACTAATTTGAGACTTAGAATGGGTTATAATACATGCTAGAATTAGATTGAAATGCAAACAAGTATATTTTTCAATTTATGTTCCTACTAGTTTTCCTATCTTATACTTGTGAAACTGCTCCAGAAAAAACGCCCCTTACTGACTTTGATAGTGTTTTACAGAGCAGTTCTATTAGTTTAAATTTCTCTTTTATGGACTATTGAGTATCTTATGGTCAATAGTTTGATTGCTGTTACCTTGCTACATATAAAATGAATGCTACATGCTTTTAGGGAGCTGAAAGGAGTTCTGAGATTCACATAAATGGAATCAAATTAAGGAGTTGTGTATAGGGCTTGAATTCTTTTTTTTTTTTTTCATTCTAAATGTCTACATCTGTTAGTTATCGTCTCTAGTGATTAGTCATTATCCCAGTGAGCATTTTGTAATTTGTTTTTGTGAAACATTGTATCAATAGACTCATTTTTTGGCAGTACTTTGCTACTCTAGAGAAAATTGTCCCAAAGGACAGTTTTTATCTTAAGAAATTTTTATAGATAATTGTACTATAGTAGTGCCCATGTGTCCATTTCATTTAATGACTTGTTTTTCATCCCTTTCTAATACTTTGCAGATCATTTGTTCAGTAAATTTCACCAGTTTATCTGGAATTCCTTGGGTTTTGAAATAAAAAGATTCTCTGTCATTTGCTCAGTACCCAAAGTCAGCCTTAAGCCAGTTAGACAAACCTAAACCTGTGGCTAGCTATGTACACTGAATTCAGTTTATCTCAAGATGAGAAAAATAAGTAAATTCCATTTTATTTTTTAAAAAAAGGTGACTTCAAAGACATATTTTTGTATCACTGATCCTGTAGAGAGAGATCCTTTAGTAACTGAAGGTCGCACCAGTGCATTTGTATCTGTTACTGATGGACAGCTCTCTGCTATAGGACCAGAGATATCAAAACCTGTCGTAGGATTTGCAGTTCTTAATTTAAATGGAACTTTCTTATATATCCTATACTGGAAATTAACAGATCTGGACTCTAACCTTGTATTTGCCTTCAGCAGCATGCTTTAGGTAGCATATTGTTATGATTTCCCCACACTAACTTGTATTTATACTCCCAAGTTTGTACTCCCAGGTTCTAGAAGAAATCCCATTCAGTAGTACTTCAGCTTACTTCTGAGAACACTTGTTCTGTAGCTTCCCTCCCAGAATCGTTTACTAGGCAGAATTTTCTATCCAATGCAAAGACTGAAGTTATTTCTGAGGGTAACACTTTACCTCATTGTCTTGACTTAAAAATTCAGCTAGTTCCGCAGCATATGATGGGGTGGCTGAGTTTAGCTGAGCTTCAGTAATTGCGAGTAGTCACTCTGTCTTTTCAAAATTTTTTAGTCATTTGTATCACAAGGATTCTTTCAGTCACATCTTCTTAGCTTCCTTTTTCCTAGCCTAAGTCACAATCTATAAATATTTGGCAGTTGATGAAAGGCCAAAAAGTCTGTTATTCCATGTAAGCCCAAGTACATTGCTGGTACAGGTCTTCTGAAGAAATCTTCTCATGTTATCCATTTGCTTGTCCAATTATGACTTCTAGTCACTGCTGCTGAAGGGGATGTGAAGGGTTTTTTTACTCTTGATCTCTGCTTTTGAAAGATTCAGCCTTCATTTTTTAAAAAAATCAGGTCTGTAATAATTAATATTGAAACAATGTTTGTATTAACTAGAACCATTTTCTTTGCTTCATTTATTACTGTCAATGTAGTTACCGAAGAGCTCAGTCTCTCTATCCTTAAAACTGCTTTGAAGATAAAATTGATCTTCTTGGTATTATTAAAAATTGGTGAAAAAAAGCATGTTGATTTTCACTTTATCTTTCGAGCTTCCCATTGGAAATGGATCTGTGTGGTTTTGCAAAGTAATAGTTCTTTGATTATATACTTTCAATTTGATACCATAGTAAATTTTGATCTCTGAGTTGTGGTCCCTCATCAGATCTGAACTTGTGTGTAAAGTCTCAGAGAAGGAAAAAAACCCACCAAAAATCCCCTAAACCAAAAGAAAGTCATTGCACAATCCTTCTGGCTCCAGGCAGTTGCATATTCTTTTTAAAGAAATATATCTATGCATTTAAAGAAGAGAGCTATAATTACAAGAGAGTATTGATTTTCTGTCATGGTCCATGTGTGAGCTCACAAAACTGAGGTAGCACAGCTGGACTTCAGGCAATCAAAAATGCAGAGTGTTTTAAAGACTTCTTGGTGACCAAAAGTGTTTATTAGAAGGGAGCAGTTGGTTTTGATGTGAGTCACAAAGTCATCCTGTAATGGGTCAAAATGTTCTTCATCTTTTGTGGATGAGAACTGCAGCCACATAAATTGCTGTCATCTACAAGTAATGTGGTAAATTCATGCCGGAAGTGATTAAAAACAGACTACTTACAGTGATTTGCCTTAAATCATTTCAGTGCTTCTCGTTAACTTGGCACCCTTCCCCTTTGTCAGTGATGTAAGCTCAAGCAGAATAATTGAAAATTAATTTCTGAAGGTACTCTGCTAACCCCCAGAAGAATGGCAGTGTCTGTGAATATGTGGGAAGGTGAAGTTGCTTCATCATATTTACCTTTTCCCAGGCTAGTATGGGAGGCAGAATTGACCCATACCTGTCAGCATGAATAAACAAGTCAATGACTTGGATCAAAATCCAAGTAGTTAATGGTAATTAAATTTGTAATCAAGCAGCACTCTGCGCATTGTAGTGTGATGCATCATACCTTTTGTACACTTGTGGTAAGTCATGTCAAGGTAAATTCATGTCAACAGATGTCTTATAAAAACTTCAGGAAATCTGGAGCTATATTTGAAATTCAGATGCTTCCCAGACACTGCATCTTGGTTTTGGCCTAGGTTTATAAAAGTTTGTAATAAATTTTGTTATTTACTGTCAATGCAATTATTCTTTCATCAAACCACATATGGTAAAGCCTTAGTTGTGGCCACATTGTCAGTTTGTTACTCAACAAAATTAGAAAAAAAGCCTCATGAGCTTTCAGCTATAACAAAATGGCACGAGGGAAAAAGTTAAGAGTCTGAAGAACAGGAAGAGCAAAGCACAAACGTGACTAGCAAATCAGCAGAATCAGAGAAGAGCAAAGCTCAAGACCAGGAATGTAAAACTGGCTATTTCTTGTGTTGTTTTTACTACGAGCCATAAATATGTCCTTGTACGTACTCAAAACCCAACTGGACAAAAACTTGAGCCAAATTCAATATTGGCCTTGCTCTGAGGAGGTGATGGATCTGACGAACCTCAGGGTCCTTTCCAATTAGACCATTTTGTGATCCCATGTAAGCAGCAGGGGTGGTAGATACAGAACTAACTTGTGTTTGCAAGAAGTACAGAGGTACAGTAACTAGGCTGTAACAGGTATAGTAACAAAGGCTGCTGATACTGTAAGCTGCTACGGAGAGAAACAATTAGGTGATTGTTGGAGTTCTGAGAGAGATGTGATTTTGTCACTTCCTAGCTGGAAAGGCAAAGGAAAAAAGTCTCTCTTCTGCAACCTGAATTATACAGGGTGGATCCAGAAGAAATTGTTGGTCTGTTGGTTTTGTTTTACATTACCCTTTCTTCTAAATGAATGTGCTTCTAATTGGTTTTGCTTTATACCCTGGGCTACATCAAGCACAGCCTCACTAGCTGGTCAAAAGATGTGATCATCCTGCTGTACTCAGGGCTGGTGTGGCCTCCCCCAGAGTGCTGTGTGCAGTTCTGGGCCCCAGGATGTGTTTAAGAAGGATGTGAAGGTCCTTGAATGTGTCCAGAGGAGGGCAACAAAGCTGACAGGTTTGTTGTGACAGGGCTGGAAGGCATGTCCTGGGGGAACGGCTGAGGACTCTGGGCTCAGCTAGTTTGGAGAAGAGGAGGCTGAGGAGCCACCTCATTGCTCTCTGCAGCTTCCTGAGGAGGGGACGTGGAGAGGGAGATGCTGATGTCTTCTGCCTGGTATCCAGGGATAGGACATGTGGGAATGGTTCAGAGCTGCTCCAGGGGAGGTTTAGATGGGACTTTGGGAAGCATTTCTTCACTGCGAGGGTGGTCAAACACTGGAACAGGCTTCCCAGGGAGGTGGTCGATGCCTCAAGCCTGTCGGTGTTTAAGAGGCATTTGGACAATGCCCTTAATAACATGCTTGAACTTTGGGTCAGCCCTGACGTGGTCAGGCAGTTGGGCTAGATGATCATTGCTGGTCCCTTCCAACTGAAATATTCCGTTCCATTCCGTTTTCATACAAGGTTTCACAGAAGGAAGAAATAATTTATCTAATGGGTATTAGTTTTAAATTATGTATTATTTCTGTTATTTTCTAATTGTCAGTAGCTTTCTCTTTTAAGTTACTTCTAGCACTGGAGACAAACATATCAAAGGAAAAATGGATCCCTTGTTTTGGCCATCAGAAACTAACAGCTTTCGACGTTTCACCCCTGAGTCCTTGGCAGCAATTGAGGAAAGAATCGCTAACAAAAAAAAGCAGCAAGCCAAAGTTAATGGAGAGAGTAAGGACCAAGGAGTTGAAGAAGATAAACTTACTCCTCAGCTTGATCTGAAAACCTGCAAAAAACTGCCATCTTTGTATGGGGATCTTCCTGTGGAGCTGATTGGGGAACCCCTGGAAGATTTTGATCCATACTACAGTGATCACAAGGTTAAAATTTTCAAAAGCATTTTTTTATTTGATTTTTGTCTACTGCACTCTTAGGAGATAGTAGAAGCTCTATTCAGGAGATGCTGATTTTTCATTGTTCTGTAGACAGATCTTTGAACGTTACTAGCATTTTGGGGGGCAGGAGTGTTTAAGGTATGCTCCACATTTTATAACGAAAAGGTATTTTAAGTTGCAGTCAGCAATCAGAATTAATTATGAAAACATGGTACACTTGATAGATACAATTTGATCAGAAGGATATTCTGGGATAATTGATGCTTTGTTTTCCAGAGCAGTTTCAGTGGGGGCTGAACTCACTGTTGTATAAACAGTGCCTGTAAAACAGTAGATCACACTGGAATTGCTGACATACTGCAAGATGTTTTTACTGAATTGCAAGTATTATACAAATTAGGGGAGACCTATTTGAGATATTTCCAGTACTCTGTGTAGCAAATCCATATATTTTAATGATAGTACATTAATTTTCTGTTATTTTATGTCTCATCAGCTTTGTTTATTGTACCATATTTATATTGCATATATTCCCTGTTATTGCAAAGTGTTTTGTGATGTTGCCTGTAGGAATGTGTAAAGTAAATGCTCTAGGAATCCCTTCTAAATGAAATGTCTGTTGTATGATTGCTTACAACTGAGGGGGACTTGACCTGAAGAGCAGAAGGCTCCATCCGGTCCTATGTTGCTGCCTTTTATGTACACCAGCAAGTCACTGGAATATAATAATTTAATCAGAAACATGCAGAAAGCTTTTTTTATTCCAGAGATTTTTTTTCCCAAAGTAATCAAAGTGATACTCTTGATGAAGAGAAACTAAGGCTGATCCTGTTGAAGAAATTTACTTCAAAGTTAGTGAACTGTGTTTTTGATTTAAGAGATTTCATTTTTACTTGATGTGGCAAAAGTACTGAGCTGCATGGACCTTAAGGTAGCTTAGAGGGAATTTACAGTGTTACTTGATAACTTAGAGATATTTCAAAATTAAAATTTTTCCTTTGACTCAGCTGGATTCTGGCAGTCCTATACAATATATATATTGTAAATAATATTTTGTAGCCTATAAAACTATCCAAGAATAAGGTACTTTTGTATATGATTAACACCATTGTTGCAGTCCCAGAATAGTATCCTTTAATTACATTGACCAAGTGAATATGATCACTTGCTCTTCAAATTCATTCCCATTATTACTTCTTCCTCACAGGCAATAATGAACTTTTATATAGCTGGTGTCTTTCTTTCAAAATGTAACATCAGTAGTTCACGGCTCCAAGTAAGAATACAGGAAAGCTTTACTCACAATTGCAGTTAGATATAGTTCTAGATGCAGATTTGAAAACCTAAAGATTTAATTTTTGGGAAAAATCTTGTTTCATTAAAATACTTCTTATACTATGAATCTTTTCTTTTTAATAGACTTTTATGGTGATAAATAACAGGAGGACTATTTTCCGGTTTACTGCCACACCTGCCTTGTGTATAGTTGGTCCTTTTAATCCAGTCAGAAAAGCAGCAATTAAAATTCTGGTCCATTCATATCCTTTTATTGGTTTCGCTTATTTTGGTTTTAAAATACTGTACCATTTTCTGTCGTGCTGTTCATATTAATGTAAATGTAAGGTCATGTGGCTGTGGTAGAGATTTTTAACAAGTTATACTGAATCTGGTTTTACAACAGCTAAGATATTTACATGGTGTTGGTACAAGTAAAAATGTCAAAAATCTCATATTTAAAGTCAGATTTGCAGATATTGTTATGAAACAACATTTAAGAGCTACTGTATGGTAATTTATCCCTTTTCCAGAACTTTTTCTAAATGTTTATTGTGGTGAGAAGCTTAAATTAAAAAAAAAAACCAAACAAAACAAAACAGCGATTCTGTAGTCATTAAAACATGAAGGATGTGATTTACAGCAATACTTTGCTGAAAGAATCTGATGTTATCCTAAGAAATGTGTTTCACACTCAAGTTTAGAAAGTTCTGAAGAGTGCCCATTTTTTATATTTTTGTAAAAATATAAACAACGTTTGAAGAATATAAAAATGTGAAGGATTGCAGGTGCAAAACCATAGGCAGAGTAGTTTTTGCTCTTTCTGCCAAACATCTGTTTTCATTTGGAATTATTAATTTGTCAAAATAGGTCCTTTTATGGGAATTTATGGCTGACTTTGAATTCATTAGAAATTAGAAATTACTAAATTTGCTGTTCAGTTTCAAATAAGCCCTAAACTTAAGGCCAACATTTGTTTAAAAAATTTTTTTTCCTATGTATGTTTTCATCGCCTGCCGCATACAGTGAGAAAGTTTTCTGAACTTGTGACAGTGCATAGGTATCTCTCCTAAGAATGTACATGTAGACTCTCAGTTCAAAGAACACACTTTTTCATCTGGTTTTCCTAGGCTTAACCTCCCCCCCCCCCAGTTATTATGGGGTTGTGGCCCATTTCTCTTTATGGGCTCCTGCTGGGAAGAAACAGAAGTTTCTGAAGTTTCAAATAACAGTGGACAACAGAGGACTCAGTTTTGGGTTGGGTTTTTTTTTTTTTTTTCCCATTTATTTACATTCCTCATCTTTTTCTGTCAAATGTACTATGTCCCACTAGTGTCCTAACTTCCAAAACTATCATCACATGCAGATAATTCAGTTATTTTTAAATTACAAAGTTTACCAAGCTGAGCAGAAGTTTGATCTTACATCAGTTTCTTTGGAAAAAACGTGAAAAGTCCTGAGTATATTCAAAACCAAAGTAATTATTTGAATATCTATATGTTTTTTTGTGTGTAAATCCACAACTCTTCCGAAATTCACTGTTTAATAATACTGCACTTTTTCCTTAACTTATTATTCACATTATTTGTTGGCTTTATTACGTGTACTGTGATACTCAATTGTGCTTCCATGGCTGTAAATAAGCTTCCAGAAGGACTCAGCTGGACCGAGTAAGTATCACAGTTGCCATTTGTTTGCTCTTTTTCTAAGATTACTAGCATGCTGGACTGAAAAATTCAGTTAATGTGGTCATCTAATTCTGGGGCTTGAAAATCTTCAGACAGACCTCTGAGGAAGATTTAGAATTATTATTATTATATCACACAGTCTTCAGTGGAGCTTCAGTGCCTTTTCTTAGAGGCTTACACCATATGCTCTCTTCTCTACGTTGGTTAATTTTGCCATCTGGTGTAACGTAGAAGGTTGCCCCATTTTTCCTTTTAAGTATTCAGCCTTTTAGAGACACTGTGCAGCAGGTTTCTAACACAATAACCTGAATGTCTGTTGTGGCCAGCTCATGCAAAAAGTATAAAGGGATAAATATTCATTCCATTCTTTCTTGCTGTTTCCTGTGGACATCCCTAGTTCAGTTGTTCATATTAGGAAGCCATCTATTTATAATGTCTTGTTTCCTTTTGTAATTGTGCGCGGTATCCAGTGTAACTTGAGTTAATGTTCTGGAATTAAATCTTGAAAATGTGCCTGGGACCTCAGAGGTTCTGTGATTTTAATTCCTTTTATTTTGGGGTAAGCATGGTAATAATGATAGCTTAATTTTATATAGGTTTTCTTTCAGTTATAGGGTATTTGTCAGAATAATGTGTATAATGTGGAAACTTTACAGGTTAAAATGTCTTTGCTGTTATTGTTCTGCCGAAATGTTTGGGCTTTGAAATTTTCCAGCCTGCTTTAGAACATAAACGCAGTCTTAAAAAATTTTCATGAGGAAATGTGAGCTATTCTTCATCCACAAATAGTACCGTATGGTTATGTGAACATTTGTGATTATAGATTTACATGTAAATCTTACTAAAATTCAGGAAAGCATCTTCTTATACTCATGATGTTTCTGAAAGTAATGTAACCTTTCACATTTTCTACCTTCATCTCCATCCAGTGACTAAATCATAGAAAAGGTAGAAATCTGCTTGAATGTGCCTTGATCTCATTAATTCTCATTTATATAACTTTAATATACACTTTCCTCCTCAGATATCTTTTTACTGGCATATATACTGGTGAAACATTGATAAAAATATTAGCAAGAGGATTTGTTTGGAATGAATTTACCTTTCTTCGAGATCCATGGAACTGCTTGGATCTTTTTGTTATTGTCATAACGTAAGTAAAACTCAGTTTTTCTTTTACACTCAAGGGATAAACACACAAATAAAATGCTAGTTGATATTGCTGAAGTTTATTAGAGTGATTGGCATCCTACCTGCTTAAGAGTTACTGTGGTTGAATCACCCTTTGCATATCTGCAAAGAGAAAAATAGTCATAGACCTTAAAGCACGGCCTAAGTGCAAAGCTCATCTTAGATTTGTTTGGTTGTTCTCAATCTAGTACGTATTTAAATTTTGTTAAGCGGCAATTGCATAGACAGCCAAAACCAAGCATGCCTCTTTGTTGTCTGAGTTGTACCCTGGATCAGATGAAACTCATTTGAGAAGGATCCAAAGTGGGTCATAAGGTGTTGAATGACACGGTGATAAATAGGAGATGAAACCCCAAAAATGTAAAGTGACACTCAAGGAAAAACAGACTTAGCTTTACATACACAATTATGGGCTTTGAAATACCTTTCACTTGTTAGGAAGGCGATGTTGGAGTTAAAATATAAAATCTTCTGAGAACACTACTCCAATGTGCAATCATGGTGAGAGAAGGAAATAGAAAATGATGACATTATGGGTAAGAAACAGAGAGAAAGAGAACACATAGTTATTTCACTGTGTGGCCTGTATTTTTCATCAGGACAATATGTAGTTTTGCTCCTGGTATCTCAAAAGATGACAGAATTAAAAAAGATATAGAGAAGATTTGTTTCTTGTATTCCACATAATATAAAACTAAGTAGAGTAGAACTCTCATGGAAAAAAATACAGAGCAGGAACATGGTTAAAGTCTGTGGCACAGAGCCAAAAAGAGAATAAATAATTTTTTTTTGTTTTCCTATGACAAGAGCTAGAGGCACCAAATGAAGTTGTCAGATGGCAGAGTAAAAAAGAAGGAAGTAGTTTTTCACACTACATGTAGACATATTCCCATAGGAGGCTTTGGATGCAAAAAACTCAGTTGCATTCAGAAAGCTTCTGGACAAAATCCTGGATGAAAACACATTAAGGTTTATTTTTAACACAAAGATACTATGTCTTGTTCAGAAAGTCCGTCAGCTATAAATTTGGTGGAAGAACTAAATTTGGGAGGCATCACTGTCTTTAAGCTCCTGTGTAAGCATCTGTTGTGGGACATTCGTGAAGACAGGGTAGTAGGCCAGATGGATCACTGCTGTGGTCAGTTTTAAATTTGTATCAAAACCAACTAGCTAAGTAGACACAAAATGAGAAAGAAATCAAGTCAGAATTTGCATCTCAGATACAGAATGTTAATCTTGAAAGCAAAATAGTCTTACTTGCAGCAGTGAACACATTCACTCATGCCCAGCTGCAGAGCTTTTGAAGCAAATCTCTGTCATTTAACATTTCTGAATAGTTTTCAGTTGTCTTGTTCTAATTCATTAGAAATATAGAGTAATTTAGATTGGAAGGGACCTCTGGAGATCATGTGGTGCAGCTCCATGCTAAAAGCAGGACTAATTTAGATTAGGTTGCTCAGGACCTTGTCCAGTCAAGCTCTGAGTTTCTCTAAGCATGGAGATTCAACAACCTCTCTGAGCAACCCATTCCAACCCACATTGTGGGGTTTTTTTCTCCCAAATTTCTATTTGAAATGTCTCTTGTAGCAACTTATGTCTGCTGCCTCTCGTCCATTCTTGATGAGCTTCCAAGAACAGTCTGGCTCATCTTCTCTAAGGCCTTATATTGGGCAGCTGAAGAGAGCAGTAAGATTCCTGCTTCATCACCCTATTAGCCTGCTCTTCTTCAGACTCAACAAATCCAATCCAGCCTAACAATTTAACTATACAATTGTCTTACTGTCCTCCTTAGAGCCCTGGCTGGACCTGCTCCTGTATGTAAAATGACTTTCTTGCCCTGGAGAGCCCATAGCTGGACACAGTACTCCAGATTCAGTCTCAGAAATCACATCCTTCAGTGTATGAGCTGGACTCTTCAACATATGAGCTAGACTCATGCTCATCTAGCCCAATATGTAATAGGCGTTCCTTGTCACAAGGGTGCTCTGCTCGTTCATGTTCAATTTGTCTGCCCTGACCCCAGGTCCTTTTCTGCAAAGCTGCTCATTATCCAGTCTGCCTTCAACTCCTACTTGTGGTCATGCTGACTCAGTTGCAAGACTTTGCCTTTGCTTTTGCTGAACTTCTTGAGGTTTCTACAGCCCATAACTCCAGTCTGTCAAGCTCACTCTGCAAAGCACCCTTGCCACCCAGTGTATTGACTGCTCCCACCCCAGTTTAGTATTTGTGAACTTGTTGAAGGCAAACTCAGTTCCGTTCTTCGGAATGTTAATGTAGTTGTTAAACAATATTGGCCCCAAGACTGACCTGTGAGGGATGCCACTAGTAAGAAGCTGCCAGCTGAACTTTGTCCCTTTGATCACAGCACATAGATGCATGGATAATATTTCACTTTCACAGATTGACTAGACTCAGGGACCTGAGAAGACTGAGAGCAGACCTCACTGTTAAAGGCCAAATCAAGGCAGCGTTGAGTAATTTCAGCTTTTGCATGTCCTTTGTCACTAGGTTCCCTGCCTTGTTGAGTAACAGGCCCACAGTTTCCTTAGTCATCTTTTCCCTGCTGATGTACTTAAAGTAGCCCTTCTTGTTGCCCTTCACGTCGCTTGCTAGCTTCAGCTTCCACTGAACTTTGTCCTTCCTTGCTTCATCCCTGCATGCTTGGCAACGTCTTAGTGTCACTTCCCAGAGCTATCTCAGCTTCAACCATCTGCACAATTCCTTTTTGAATATGAGATTAGTCAGGAGCTGCCTGTTTAGATAAGCTGGTTTTCTGCCACATCCGCTTGACTTTCTGCAGAGTGCGTGTTCCTGTGCTTTGAAGAAAATACCCTTGAAGATCAACAAGTTGTTCTGGGGGGTGACTTTTCCCTTTGGGGCAGTTTCAGATCCCTGAACACGCTGAAATCTGCTGTCCTAAAGTCCAAGATTTTTATTCTGCTGTTCATGTTGCTTACTTCTCTTGGGGGGGAGTCTTAAACTCCACTGTCTCATGGGCTCTGTAGCAAAGGGTGTCATCAACTGTCATAGCCCTGACTGTTTTTCCCCGTATTTGTAAATAATAGGTTATGTACTCAGATGTCATCACATACATATATATATATGTATATGAACAAAGTATTCTTATGGTAATCTATAAACCACTAAGGGGCTTACACATTGTTAATCATCAGCAGCTCTAAAGTAGTCCAACAGCTGTATGAACAATTTCATTTTATGGTCCTACTTCCCTACCCATACTCCTAATTAATTTGTGTTCAAGCAGATCTAAATACTTTGTGATATAGTATCTCCTCCTTTTTTTTGGTCCTATCACGCAACAAATTAACTTATTGGAAATTAACAGTTAACTCAAGTGCAGTTGTTACTTAAGGTACTTGAGAATTATTTAATCTTACAGGCTAGGCAAAGCCATGGTGTTCTGATCTGTTACTGACAAAAGTCATGCTTTGAGTGGGAGGTCACCTAAATCACCTCCAAAGGTCCTTTCCAACCAATGTTTCTCAGATTCTGTTATTGAGACTTTTTATTTTAAGGAATTCTGTTACCAGTCGTGACCTTGTTGCCAGGTGAGCCACAATTCATGTCCATTCTGACATGAAAGAATTCTTAGAAAATATGGGGTAACCTGTTAAAGTGCTGTATAGAATATGCAACTCTTCAAACCTCATTTTCTGAAATTTTTAAAATTGTTTAAACAATTAAATTGAAACTAGTTTCAATACTGAAGTTCTTACCTGACTGTGAAATAAAAGTCAGAAATACAACCATGTGGTATGGAATTAACATATCATAAACCTAGTTTTCCTCAAATCCCTTCTCCTTAAGTATATCTTGAGTAGTTTTGAGATAGCTGCAACATATACTTTCATGTGGTCTAAATCGGATTAGCCTCAGTATGAGAGGGTGTGGTTATGACATTGAAGGTTTTATATTTGTTTAACATTTTGGTGGATAACCACTTGAAAAGTTGAACATCCAAATCCACACTAAGTAAAAACTTGCTGTGTTTCTTTTCATAGGCACTATTCAAAAGTCTCATTATTTTATATCAATACCTAGAAATAGACTTAGATTCCTAACTTTAGACATCTACCTTAGGAGATATTTGACCCATTTATTTTCTGTAACTTATTAATTACTATGTGCTTAATATGCACATGCTCTGAAAAGCTAGATCTTTGTCATTCAGTTATATGGTGGTTTCATTTTATAGGTATGTTTCTATGTGTAAAAGTGTGGGCAAGTTTTCAGCTCTTCGAACTTTCAGAGTACTGAGGACTTTGAAAGCTATTTCAGTAATACCAGGTAAGGAACAACATATCTTACTAATTTTCTCGCTGCTTCAGCAGTATGCTATTTCGAATTCCTCTCCTGTTCTTGTCTTCAGTTTCCTGGTCACTCTTTGTGATGGTTAATGGGATCCGAAGGTGTGGCTGTTTTGCAGTCTGTAGTAACTCTCAGCACCATCCTAAGAGAATATTCTTTATCATCTTTCCTCAAAATTATTTTGATGCAGGCAATTTTTTTTATTTTCTGCTTTTTCTATCCCATCACTAATGTTCAGTTTTACTTAGCCCAGTGCCTTTGTCTTTTTACTATTGTCTTTCCTGAGCAGCACACCCTATTCAATATGTTGTCTTATAACATAATCACGGCTATATCACAACATTTCCGGTTTCATGCTGTATTTTATCTTCTATAGTTTATTTCCCAGAATGCTGACTTCACAATATTTCAGAATTCTGTTTATTTGTTCACTGACCACAGCCACTATCTGGATTGAGCATAATACTTTCGTCAACAGCATTTTGCCTATGCTGTCCAGATATTCAATGTTTTTGTAAGTTGTGCCACTAATTAGGATACCAAAGTATGGATTTCAGAATCTAACTGCAAAAACTCATTTGAAAATCTCTAAATGACTACATATTCCATTGTCACAATATATATTAACTTCATGATTTCTATGTAATTACAAATATATTTGTGATTTTGCTATGGAATTATAACAGGAATTAAACATAGGACGTGTTTTATTTTTAATGTCAAAACTACCTGTCAGTACTTTTCCTTTCATATTCGCTATGGAGAACAGAGAGTAAATGTTACTTTACTTTTTTCTTATGAAAAACTTCTAGAAAAATCCTGGATATCACTCTCTGCCTATGTCATATTTCAAATTCAGTTATTCTGACAGAATATTGTTCTTCAGTTTATATATAACCCATTTTCACAGACTCAGAGAATGGTTGAGGTTGGAAGAGACCTCTGGAGGTCATCTAATCCAGATACCTAAAGCTGATTGCCCAGGACCATGTTCAGACAGCTCCTGAATATCTCCAGGGAGGCAGACTCCACAGCCTCCCTGGGCAACCTGTGCCAGTGCTCGGTCACCCTCACAGTAGAAGGGTGTTTCCTGATGTTCAGAGGGAACCTCTTGTGTTTCAGTTTGTGCCCATGGCCTCTGGTCCTGTCACTGGGCACCACTGGAAAGAGCCTGGCTCCATCCCCTCTGCATCCTCCCTTCAGGTGTCTATGCACATTGATGAGATCCTCCCTGACCCTTTTCTTCTCCAGGCTGATCAGTCCCAGCTCTCCCAGCCTTTCCTCATGGCAGAGGTGCTCTAGTCCCTTAATCACCTTTGTGGCCCTTTGTTGGACTCTTTCCAGTATGGACATGTCTGTCTGGTACTGGGGAGCCCAGAACTGGACCCAGTACTCCAGGTATGGCCCCACCAGCGCTGAGCAGCAGGGAAGGATGACCTCCCTTGATCTGCTGGTCATGCAGGTCATCCTTATGCAGCCCAGGATACCATCTGCCGCCTTTGTGGCAAGGGCCCATTGCTGGCTCATGTTCGACTTGGTGTCCACCAGAGCCCCCAGGTCCTTTTCTGCCAAGCTCTTTCCTGCTGGGTGGTCCCCAACATATATTTGTTCCCTTCCCAGTGTCATAAATGTTCTTTTGCTTTTGAGCTGGTGACATCTGTAAGTAGTTATCTTTTAAGACAGAATTCCCTGAGGTCAGCAAAAGCTATACTTTATTGTAATGTGTATTTGGCACAATGCGAATTACTTAGTTAATGTTAATGAAGCACAGAAATCTGTACATATTAGTTAAAGCTCTTAAGAGTTTGCTTAGATGCCATCTTAATTTAGAATTTTCGAATTAGCAAAATTAGCTTTAGAAGGAAGTAAAAGCCAAATAAGTTACGATTAGGAAATTTAAGGAAAAATACTTTACTCGTTCCTGTGCTTTATTTTACCTCATTGAATACTCTGAAGTTACAAAACCATTTACACTGATTGTTTTTAACATACTTGCAACTGTTGTATATTGTCATATGGGAACGCTACTGCATTCCTCTTCTCATTTTGCATATTATTGAATCTTGTTTTTCTAGGTCTGAAAGTCATTGTAAATTCACTTATTGATTCTGTTAAGAAACTTACTGATGTCTTGATCCTGACTGTTTTTTGCTTGAGTATATTTGCTCTAATAGGCCTCCAGCTTTTTATGGGCAATTTAACATCCAAATGTGTCCTCAATAATACTATATACAATGACACATTATGTAAGGATGCCAAGACATATGTACCAAATGATGAAGGTAAATTTTATACTTTTCTCCCTTTACATAATCTGTGTATTGTCCTATGTATGTCTTGTTTTTTCACAGAAATGATAAAATATAGTTGCATTTCTCATAAGAAGGTATGTCCTTCTGTTTGCACAAGTAGTAACATGAAGTCTCTGGGACAACTGAATGTGAGATTAGTGAATGTGGGATTTGGAGAAAGATTAGCAGTCTGTAGGATGGAAGGGACTGAGTTTTCCGTAAGCATTTTTCCTGTTTTCAGCTGGGAGAGGGTTAATTTTCTTCACAGAAGCTAGTGTGAGGCCGTGTTTTGGATTTGGGATGAGACTATGTTGATAAACTACTGATGTTTTGGGTTGTTGCTAAGCAGTCAAGGACTGTCCGGCTTTTCATGCTGGCCTGCCAGTGAGGAGGCTTGGGGGTGCATGGAAAGCTGGGAGGGGACACAGCAGGGAGAGCTGACCTAGGCTGGCCAAAGAGATATTCCATACCATATGACATCATATATCAGTATATGAAGTTGGGACGGAAAAGAAGGAAAGGGTGGGGGAATGTTCGTAGTTATGGCATCTGTCTTCCCAGGAAACTGTTATGGTATGGAAGCCCTGCTTCCCCAGAGATGGCTGAGCACCTGCCTGCCCATGGGGACTGGGGAATGAATTCCTGGTTTTGCTTTGCTTGTGTGTGCAGCTTTTGCTGTCTTTATCTCAAACCATGAGTGTTCTCACTTCTACCCTTCCGATTCTCTACCCTGTCCCACCGGGGGGGAGTGAGCGAGCGGCTGCGTGGGGCTTATTTGCTGGCTGGGGTTAAACTACGGCAGCATTTTCTTGCACATTGCACAGGGATCCTATTTTTAGAGGTCCTGCACAGAGAATTATTTCTTCCATCACTTAAGCGATATCATTCAAGGATTTTGCCTACTTCTCGCAAGGTTCTTATTTTTACTGGAGATTAAATAAAATCTTACATTGTGAGTTATGCAGTTAATATTTTTTTTTTTTTAAATTGCTGTAGGGACAGATCTGCTGAGAAACTGCTTGACCTTTGTTGTGAAAGGAGTCTTCTGCAGAGATTTGGTCCAACAGGCTGTTTTTTAAAGTGCATTAATGTATGGTTTACTGTCAGAGTGCTGTAGTAACTGACAACTTCTGATTTTGATTCCTTGATTTTTTTTCATTAGATATCTGCTACAGAATGAATAAATCTTCTGAAATATTGCTCTGTGGATTCAGTTCAAATCCTAAGTAAGCGAACAAAACAGTTTTAGTACTTTCTTATTTTTTCCTCCAGATGTACTGTGGTTTTATTTTTGGCATAAAGGAATGGTGATGGTTTTTCAGGAGGATGGACTGTGTGTGTGTGTTATTAAATTAAAAACCAGATGTTTCACATCATAAAAAATGAAGTACTGGGATGCAAGCAATTATATATGTGCTTTGTTGCTAACCATTGGTAATATAATGGCAATGTAGAATGATGTAAAGGAGGAGGGGAACAGATCAGTAAAAGATTGTGAGATAGTAATAAACTCTTCTCTCCTCATCTTGGTGAGTTATTTAAAAGTAAACTTATTTCCACTTTTTCCCCTCTCTGTGTATTTGTTTGCGTGTATCCTACATCAGTGGAGAGTTTCTGTCTAGTTTCTTTGACTAGACAGATGGCTTTCAAGGATTGTCTGATATAAATCATCCCTTCTGGCATAATTACATTGGTGAATAACGAAACGGACTTTCAGATAAACTGAACAAATCTATATTTGATGTTGTATGCTGGATGCTTTCAGGTATAAGCTAATACAGCAAGTAAGTGTTGTTTAACATTTCTTTTGTGGTAAAGCGAAGAGTGCCCAGAAAACTATAGCTGTAAGAAGATTGGGAAGAATCCTGACTTTGGTTATACAAGTTTTGATCATTTTGGCTGGGCCTTCCTTTCTTTATTCCGTCTGATGACACAGGATTACTGGGAGCGTCTCTACAGACAAGTAGGTACTTTTATTACCTACTAGAATGACTTTAGACATGCAGTTTAAAGCTTTATGTCCACTGGAAAAATCTGCACCTGTTTTAACATTACTAATATCAAATTTCTTTTAAAGTCAATGTAAATATTGAGGAAGTAGCTTCAAGTGACTTAAGTTGTAACATCTTTTGCATGTGACACTGGATGGGACAAACCTGCAATGAATGCTCATAGTTTTGTTGGAGAGCACACTTAGGTCAGTGATTAATATTTAAATGTTAATATGTAACTACCAAAGGATTGGGGTATATAGTAGATCCAGCTGGTGAGCTCACTGCTGCTGCAGGGGGTATGAGGACTTGTTACATACTCTTTCTCTTCCTTTTAAGTCCCAACTCCTCACCAAACCTTTTGGCTCAACATATACAGTTTCATTTCAGATCATTTTTGACAACTGGTACAAAAAAAATTAGATTATTTATGTTTTGATTCAGAAAGTTGAATGTAACTTCTAAATTCCATCTTTTGACAAAAATGATACAAAAAATGTATGTAAAGAGGTCTCTGGATCCCTTACATCTATGCAGTGCCTTCGCTAGAAAGGAATTATCCTCCGCCTTGTCTGTAACTTTCATATGGTCCATTTAAACTTTTTTTCCAGCAGCCTTTATTAACTGAGAGGTTTTAAAAATGGATACATCTTCTTTTTGCCATTTGGAGGTCACGTGGTTTTTAGTTTTTAATATCTTAGAGCTTAATTTTGAACCATCTCCTCTGCTGCCATTTAAAGAATGTAAGAATAAGCAATCAGTTTAAATATTGCCTCTGATTCTCTAATTATAGCATGATATTTTAGATAATCCTAGCTTTCTTCCTTATTACTGAGTTTTATTAATTTTTTTTGTACTCACCTGTATATCTCTACAAATGGAAGTTGTCTTCTCATAACTTAAACTTGGTTGATCATTTGCCTCATTTGCTGGGAGATATTTCATTTAATTTTAAGAATGGATTTTGTTAATTCTTCTCTGCAGTACATGGCATCATTATAAATGTTTGATGGTCTGTTATGTAAAGACAAAACATTTTATGATCACAGAGAAGTGTGTAAGAGCTAAAATTTATTTACTTGAAGGCCAGGGGAGCTCCTGACTAGATGTATTTCTAGACCTTCTGTATCACTTAGACCAGAGGTAGATCCTACTGTTGTTTAATGAAGACAGTGCAGTATGTTGACCTTTTGTATTGTATAGGAAAATAAATTGTTTAAATTTAGGTTGAAATTTTATTGTAAATGTTAGTTTGTTAAGACAGGTTTATTACAGCCTTTACCTTTTCCTCACAGACTATCCGTACATCTGGGAAGAACTCCATTTTATTTTTCCTGGGGGTCATATTTTTATGCTCATTTTATCTCTTCAATCTGATCTTGGCTGTAGTAACTATGGCCTATGAAGAGCAAAATAGAGCTACTCTTGCTGAGACAGAGGCAAAGGAAAAATTACTTCAGGATGCAAAACAAATTCTAGAGAAAGAACAGGTTTGTAAATTGTTATATATAATATATAATACATGGTTCTTTTTGTTTTCTTCTGTTTGTGAATTTGGGAAATAAGGATTTTGATTAAGCATGTGCTTCTTACAATACTTTCTCATACTTCATTTCTCGTTCATTCTGTCTCTTTATAAATACACATGTGTGTATATATATATTTAACTATATATAAACATTTTTGTGATACAAACTAACAGCATGAGTCCAAGTTAAATCATATTAAGCTTTAGGATTTGCAGACCTGACATTGTATAGGAATGGCTTGCTGGCAAGTGTATAGCTTTTATGGTATTGCACAGGGGCCTGTGCTCTGTGGTTTGCCCCGTTCTTGTACACTACCGCTATTTCTGTGTAGAAAAATTCCTTTCTCTGGATATTCCTTCTTGCTATTACTGCATGGTATGATGAAGGAAGTATGAGTAGATAAAATTGCACCTATAAGAAAAGGTGTCATTTCTACGGTTCCTTGAGATTGGAAGTTCTGATGCTGATTTCAATATTGATGAAAAATCCAAGCTTTCCAAGAGCCACTGTGCTCAGCTATTTAAGGAGTGTCATGCTTCTTTTTGAGTTACTGCATGCAGAAGGTCTACCAGCTGACGAGCAAGAATAGTCTTTGGCCAGGTTAATGCTGTTAGTTCCATATTAATGTAGAAGCACATCCACAGACTGTGTTAGTTTCTTTGCTGTTGGTTTGGAGAGCTAATAGACACACATCAGATTTCTACAGTGTTTCCTGTTGGTACAGTATTGCCTAGATTCTTTCATTCCTTGGCCTGTACGGGACCAGGGATCACCTTGTTTTTATTTCTGAGAAGTGAAACTCTGAGCTGAGGCAACAAGATAGATTGAAAATTATTGGTAAGACATTTTATTTTCTAACTTTTTGTAAAAGATACCTCTGATTTACTGCTAACAATCGTAAGAGTCAGACTTGTAAGAAGACATACTATCCTCTAGCAGCTATCCAACTTCATCGTTAAGGTGAGAGGCATCACCAGTTTACCAAATTCCTCCTCTACAGTTGTTGACAGGCCTGTAATGTTCCTTTGTCTGAAATTCCAGCTTGCCAAGCTTTACTTACACTTTATTTCTTTCTTTCTCTTTTTCTTTCAACAGGATTAGTAGTTAAGAAAGGTTTAACATTTTAGGATCTAGTTTGAGCCCTTAGCCTTCTGTTGTCTTTAGGCTCAAGGTCCTTTCCAAAGCAAGAAAAGGAGAGTAAAAGGATACACCATAATATTCTGTAATTCAGATACAAAATACGGTATCTAAAGTGGCAAGGACAAACTTTAATTACAGTACCTGATAAGGAACCCTGATTTATCTTTTAGTATTGTGGATAGCATTTTGTACTCCTATCTTTAATTGTAGTTTCATATTTGAAAGGTAGGAATTGTTAGTGCGAAGCATTCAGATAGCATAATAATTAAACTGTATATGATCCTAGTCCATGCATTGGCATTTGCCTTGTATTAATAGACAGACCTTTTGCTGTTTCTTCTACAGATGTTGGCTGTGGGAGAAGGTAATAAGGCCTTACATGTCAGATCTGAAATGTCAGTTGCCGACTTGAAAAATTCAAAAGAAAAAGAGATGAAGAAAGAAAATCCTATTTTAAAACAAAACTTAGTATTAGGTGATCTTGACAAAGAGGAGCATATATTTCATTCACAGCCTGGTCACTGCCACAAGAAACTTGTAAGTATTGGAAATAGAAGATATATTCATCAGATTTGCATGTGATATGACAGTTTGATGAGTAGAAAAGCTTTCTTTATTTGCAATTTTTTCCCTCTTTTTTTTTTTTCTTTCTTGCATGCATTGGATTAACTTGGTTTTTAAAACAATCAGAAAGTTAGATTTGGGGACCAGAGGGAGACAGCACTGTGTGGACTTGAAAGGAAAGTTCGAAATGGCCATCAGTAGCATACACATTATAGCCCTTTGCACTTATAGCTGTGGTAAGATCTGTAGACATCTCTATTGTGCTGCATAAACAAACATATAAAATCCTGTAAGTTTTAGAATTTCTCTAATGACCTAACCTTTCCTTTTTTGTACACACAGCTAATTCTTTGGCCTAAATATTTAGGGTTGAATTTAGTTCAATATGAAGACTTGTAATGTTAGGGGTGAGATTCACTTGCCCATTTATTAAGCATCTAGTACCATTTTAGATGTTCTTGGACAGGATGGATATCCTGGATATTTGCCATGTCTTCCAGCACTGTGTGGATATCTCAAGTACATTATGACATCTCAAATGTTACTAAATTCCTAGATTTAGACAACTGGATTGTGCTCCAGGTTTTTCTTTGCAGGGGTATACATGTGATTTAGGTACTCAACTTGCAGAGTTGAATGGATATTTAACTTTTTTGGTCACAAATTGATACCTAGTGACATTACAGGGTTTCTAGAGTGTCTTACTTGGCCTCCACTTACTCTACAGAAGGATACAGATTTGATGTGTCATGTCTGCTTAGTCTGAAACTATGGATGTCTCAGATACCAAATGTCTCAGTAGACCATCTCAAATGGCTTCAGACACTTATTCTTAAGTGAATCAAACCTGTAAAAAATATATGGATCAGTTCTAATGGGATTTTAGGTGCATTGTGCACATGGACAAATTAAATGCAGATGTCTGAATATTAGACTGAGTCCCACATGTTCTATTTCACGTCTTGATTATAACAGTGACTTCTGGCTCCTCTGCTCATCACTCCTTTCTAAATCCATTAAGAAACTGCTATTAAGAGTTGTAATTCTTACTTTTCTTAATATTGGAGTTTTTTCACAATACTTTTGGCACTGACAAAATACCGTGTATCTAATGGACAGTCCTTATTATCCTGTTACCAATGGTCCAGCATCCATGTAGAATATAGATTTGTTACCTTTTCAATGCTTAGTCCATGTATGTATCTTCACTTGGCATGACCAGGGCATGTGTGACTGCACCTGGGGTACTGTGTCAAGTTTTGAGCTCTCCAGGAGGATTATGTTGCGATACCATGCAAAGACAGTTGAGGCTGCCAAGATGATTAAGGGGCTGTAGCAACTGATGTGTGAGGAGTGGTAGAGAGGTTGGGTTTGTTCACCCTGAAGAAGAAAAGGGAAAAGGAAGAAACTGATTAGTGCTGTCTGCTAATATCTAATGGGAGTGTATAAAGAGGAAGGAGCCAAGAGCTTCTTAGAGGTGCACACTGAAAGGTCAAGAGGAACAAGCTGCAACAAGAGTAATTCCAATTAGTTATTAAGGGGGGAAAAAACCACTCTGGCAGAGGATAAACATTAGAACAGGTCATCTAGAGAATTTTTTGGATCTTCATTTTTGGAGATATGCAGAACATAGCTGGAAAAGGCCTCTACAGCTGAAGTTTGCCCTGCTTTGAGCAATGGAGTGGGAGGGCTTCCAGAGGACTTGCCCAACTTTAATCTTTGTCTGGCTCTAGGTAGGCAGCCATACTTAGATGCCTATGTTTAGATATTTTAATCTTAAGCTGATTCTTCCAAAATAATTCTCAGGCAATTATCCGCATTACTGAGTTATTTTCAACAATATCTAAAAAGAAAGCTTTTAATGCCCTTATGCTGGTTCAGCAACAGCTGTTCTCCAGTACAGGCTTGCGACTTAGACCAAACAGGGTCCACTGGAAAAAGAGATGGTTGTAAAGTAGATATTTGTGTCCAAAAAACACCTTGACTTAAACCTCGTTTCCCAGCCACACCTTTGATAATGCAGTCTGGATTTTCAAACCAGCCTTCATTCACCTTCTCAGATGTGTTTCTTCCTTCCATTTCTTTGGTCATCAATTACTGTGACTGAGTAGGGTCTCTAGATATGGAGAGCTGGGAATCATGACCAAAACATAAACTGTTCATTTTGAGATTATCCCTCACCCCTCTGTCTCCCAACATATTTTCTATGACCACCCATGATAGTCTGTTCCATCTCGTGACAGATTCTGTCATGCTTCTGGGAGAACATCAGAATTGTTCCCACACATCTCATAGAAAATGGAAACTTTCCAGTAGCAGAGCTAAAGGAGAAATGGCCCAACTTCCTTCCTTTTGAAACGTGTCCCTGTAGAGGAGTTTTTATCAGACATGTCATCCTAGATAAAATGGATTAGTTTTTCATTCTAGCAGTCAGCATCGTCAGGATTTCTCCTAAATTCCATGATCCTAGCTATATTAAATTACGTGCCTGAGCTGAAGGAGTCAAAATCATCCACTTGACAGCAACTGCCATCTGTCATCTCCTTAGAGTGTCATTAATGTTTCCTCTGCCATGTTAAGAATATTATGCCGTTTTGTGACCTAATTTGGTTCTGCTGTACTTAAAAGGAACACTCTGTCACAGTCTGTGGTAGTGTATTATTATCCCTATTGAGGAAAAAAGATGTTTTTCTATGGCTGGTGTCATATCTTGTATAAATATAAAAATCACCTATTTTGACTGATTATCCATATTTAATTTTTTCATCTAAGTCTGTGACTGTGTTGCAGGAGATGACTAAGATAGGAAATAAATTTGATTTAGTTCCTAGACCTTACTTTCTCCAAGGCTGCAATATCTTCACAACTTGCATGCCAAATGCAATCTGTATTTTTACATTTCAGAAATAAGATTTTCAGACCCTTCCCAAGGTCCTTTCCCCTCTCTATGTGCAGAGAATGGTAAAGTGATGAATATCTCTGTATAGAAACTTTTGGAAACAGATAATAGATTGCATTAGAACCTGGTACAAGGAATGTTAAGTGGAACCCACTTTTCGGGAGTATATTCTGCAGGGTTTAAACTACATTGCTGTGCTTGCTAACAGATGCCTCTACACTATCTGCGTGAAGAATTCGAGGACCCAGCTCCAGGTAACTGTGACTGTGTGAGATCCTGGCTGTAGTCTTATGCTGTCTTACACATACTTACAGATGATCATTTGACAGCAGGAGAAGCGATTTATTAATTATGAGGGTTCTTCAGGGTGCATAGTCCATCTATCCACTCACTTCCTCTCACTCCCCTACAGTCACAGTTCTCACTTTGTCCTACAAATATTGGAATTTCATATGGAAAAAAAAAAAGAAAACCAGGAAGGCCTAGAGCATGATCCAAGCAGTGTGAGCTGCTCCAATGTAGAGTTCTACCATTAGTCAAATAAATATAATCTGCAACAAACATGGCAGTTTGTTTCATGTTGTGGCAACTACTGGTAGTACTGCAGCTGAGGACTCTTCAAACAATGTACTCTCTACTTTAATCACAAAAAGAGGCTAAAGATGCTAAGTCAAAGAGGAAAAAGTGTATTGGGTAGAAACTGTTTGGTAGGACATAATCAGTTCTATAAAAACTTGAATGGCCTGTTTCTGTAGTGCGTATCCCTATTTTAAACCCCGATTTGTCAGAGGACTTCTCATCACCAATTGTTTAGTTCAGCTAAAGACACATGAGCAGCAGTAACTTGTTCAGTGTTAATGAATGCTCTTAACCTTTCTAAAAACACTAACTCTGAATGCTTCTGAACAGATGTGAATTTCAACAAGAAGACCGAAGACTTTAGTCAGGCTGGCACACAAATTTTCCTAGGTTTCTCTCCTCTGAGACACCAAACTTTATAGAAAGGAATGAAAGGACAAGTTGCGCTGGTAACTGGGATATGATTAGAATAGTCTAATCGAGTCTTTAGATTCTGAAAAAATACAGATAGAAAAATAAACATTGTAGCACTGTATTATAAATTCATTTTATATGTCTATTCTATGACAGTTCTATCAACTAAGTTTTGCTTAGCTTTTCAAGTCATTAAAATACCAGAGAGACAAAAAGAAATAATTATTATTAAACCCCTGGGCCAAGGATATTGATTTCATTCCTTGAATAACGGTTTTATAGAATAAGTTAATGAAAATCATATCAGCATAAAAGTTTGAAGTAAAGATATGACATATCTTTACTTACATATCTTTCCCCCCCCCCCAAAAAAAAAAGGAAAAAAATCAAGTTGTGCTGAAAGGGAATACTAAAGTACTATACATTATGATGTGGTCAGTCACAGCTCCCTGTCAGCTGGTAGTTCTACTTACGTCCTCCCCGACACTGGAATCTTCCTTCTTTCTGTTTTGCTTTACCTCAGGGTAAAGCAAAAACCTCACAGTAAAGCTTTACCTGTCTATTCTTGGCAGCCTGTGTTTTACAATTGTCTACTTAGTCTTTAAAAAGTCTGTGTGTTGGGGGTGGTGGTGGTGGTGGTATTACTGTGTCATGAACTGAAGCTTTCAGTTTTCGGCGTGTCTCATAGGATACAGGTGTTTTTGCCTGTCTGTTCTTCAGTGCACATCAGGAACACCAAGTTTAGCATTCTGTAACTTCTAATGAAAACAAAAGTAGTCCCATTCCTAATTTTAGGCAGTTCAATATTAGTATAGAACTTGATAGGCTTAATACGGCTGGGAAAACCTATAATCTTCATTCACTAAATAACTATTCTTAATATAATAAATACCGTGCATTACTAATAATCAATAATGCACAGTTAAATAGCCAATTATTTATTCAAATTGATCATCAGTGTTCTTTTTTGTATGTACTTTTTATCAGTTACTGGAAAGATGGAATTATTTTTACCTTTGCTCCCCTGTTAATGATTCTATATATACTATATAATGGCATTATTATTGTTGTTAAATATTTTCAGAAGGAAAAAACTTCCTGAAAAATATTACTGGTTTTGATGAAATGTGCTTTACCTTCAAAGACAAACACATAATATTGTGGTTTTTTGTTTTGCATTCTTTCAGCAGGGTAAGTCTTCGTTACAATGTGTATTTAAAAAGGCATATTTATCTTACACTGGACATAATTTTTATATTGCCATTTATTCATATTCCCTTGTTATATTGTCTTCTGTTGTCTTTTTAACCAAAGAGGCAGATACTGCTGTCCTATGAATTGTCAGTGGAGTCTATTAATGATCCTTTTCGAAGACAAAGGTTAATGAGTGCAGCCACAGTTATTACAGATAATTTGCGTAAGTCATTCTGTAGCATTTTTCCTATGGTGATTGTGTAACTTGACCTAAGAGATCAAAATGTCACAAACAGTCAGCATTATTTTAAAAATCACTAGGGGAAATTATACTGCAATCAAATGTAAATTTCAGTAAAACGAATATTCTCATATCTCACGTAACTGTAACTGTAACTTGCAATTACCAAGAGTAAATCATGCCTGACCAACTTGATTGCCCTGTACAATAAAATCACTGGGGTTTGTGGATGAGGGGAGAGCAACGTTTTCATTTACTTTCACTTTAGCAAGGCTTTCAACACTGTCTCCCACAGTATTTTTTCATCCATGTTAGGGTGTTAGGGCCTGCATGGGTGGACAGCCAGCTGGACAAAAAAATGGTTGGATGTTTGGGCTTCGAATGGCTGGTGAACAGGTCTTATTCTACCTGGAGGCAGGTAACGAGTACAACAGGGGTGTATCCTAGGACACGTCTTGTCTTAAGTGACCTGGAGGAGGCAACGGAGGGCTTGCTCTTGAATTTTGCAGGTGACACCAAACTGGGGGGAAACCAATTGATGCACTGGAGGTAAGGTCTGCCTTCTAGAGGGACTTAGACAGGCTGGAGGAATGGGCCAACAGGAACCTTATGAAATTCAGTCAGAACAAATGTGAACTTCTGCGTGTCTGCAAGAACCTCTTTCAACAATGCAGGCTGGGAGCTGGCTGACTGGGAAGCAGCTCTGCAGGAAAGGCGCTGTGGGCCCTTGTGGGCAGTGAGCTGAGCGTGAGCCAGCAGCATGCCCTTGCAGCTGCAATGGCGAACACTATCCTGGACTATATTAAAAGGAGCATAGCCAGGAGAAAAGTGATTATCACCCTTTATTAAGCACTTGCTAGACGACATACTATGCCCACTTTGCCCTCCATCACCCCCAGTGAATATCTACAATATTGCTTGTAGAATTCAGTAGAGGGTCACCAAGTTGGGGGCTGGAGCACTGGCCCAGTGCTGGGCTGGTTCAGCCCGGAGAAGTTTTGAGGGGAAGTTAATACCAGCCTTCCAGTGTATAGGAAGACATTATCAAGAAGATGGAGCCACGCTCTTCACAGTGGTGCACAGTGGAAAGACAAAACAACAGGCATCAATTGAAATAAGAGAGCTTCAGACTGTGTGTAAGGAGAAGCTTTCGCCATGAGGACAGTCAGACAGAGGGACAGGTTATGCAGTCTGACCTCATGGCTGACCCTGCTTTGAGAAGGGAGTTGCAGTAGAAATCCTCTGTGGTCCCTTCCAGCTTGACTTACCTTATAACCCTACCCTCAACTATGAACACCAAGATATGCAGGACACCCTTCTTCAATTTATCCTGGGCTTTTTTCAGACCATGCTGCATCTGTGACTGTGCAGATGCAACTCTCAGAAAGCAAGTTGTCAGTTTTCCCAGAGAGAGTTACTTCTCCTTAAAGCAGATCCTTCAATAGTATAATAAACATATGAAGAGGTGGGTCATATCACCTGTTTCTGTAATTATGAGATTTGTTGATGGAGACCTTTAAATAACTTGTAATCAGTTTGTGTAGAGTGACTGAAAGAATTTTTTTCAATTATGGCATTCTGCTCACATGAGATTGATTTTTCTTTTCAACCTTTTCTATGACTGATTGTCTTTTCCTTCATAGTACAAAATTCCACATATGTCACTTTCCCTCTTTGTCATTTAGAACTGCAAGAATCAAAACTGAAATGCCCTTCATTGTGGAAACGTTTTGCTCAAAAATATCTAATTTGGAATTGTTGTCCATTCTGGAGAGTAGTCAAAGAGAAGGTGAAATTGGTAATTTTGGATCCATTTGTTGATCTCTTAATCATGGTTTGCATTATCGTGAATACCTTATTCATGGCTCTGGAGCACCCTGACATGCCACAAAATTGCCAAAAAATGATTTTTATAAGTGACAAGGTAAGTTAGGTCTATGTTAGAGTGACTAACATATTATATAACATATAACACTTTTATACTGGGACAGTCCCATAAGGTGCATGCTTTTTCAGTGGCTTTTTGCTGAATTTCTTTTTCCTCTTTCTAGGTTTTCACCCTGATTTTTACAGCAGAAATGATCTTGAAAATCATCGCTCTAGATCCTTATAACTATTTTCAGCAAAAATGGAATATTTTTGATAGCATAGTTGTTATGATTGGCCTAATAAGCTTTAAAGAAAATCTGTCATTTTTCAGGCTGGTAACTATTTCTTTATTCTTTTTTAAAAGTACATGTGTTGTATAGATTTGTAAAAGATTAGAGTAAAATGCTTTTATAAAGTATTATTATAAAGTATTTTTATAAAGTATAAAATAAAATTATTTTACTGATGAATCTGTTAAATCAGTTTTCTTTGTTAGTACATAGTAAGCCAACATGAATGTTTAATTAGAGTGACTATTAAATGAATATTAAAGAATACATTCAAGATGTTTATGATACTGTGTATATTGGATACTACAAATCCTCTGGCACAGTGAGGCCCCTTGGAGATTTGACCTAGCAGAGAGTTCACTGGTTCCCTGTTAGGTCTGTACAGTGGCACTGCTCAACTACATTTCAGATCTTCAATTAGGAAAAGAGAGTATCTGAGTGTTTTCATGAGCTTAAGGGTAGCAAAGGTTCCTTCATAGCTTTTCCTTTTGAGTTGAGATTTGTAAAGTAATGTATCTTTCCTCAAGGCTTAGACTTGGCCTTGAGGTCTCCTCAAGGCTTTCCTCCATTTTAGGGAAAAGGAGGAGTAGCTCTGAGATGTCTATGTGTAATGTTACTTTTTTGCTTACGTCCTTACTGTGTATTTAGAATACTAAATTTACTAATTATTTCTAACATTCTTTGTAGCTTTTCAGAGTCATCGCACATAGAAATTCAGTTGAATTCTGCTTCATCTTGTGTATCATGACAGGGATTTTAACAGCTCTGAATGCTAATTTGACTAAAAATGTCTTTATTCATGAGGGTGCATAGAATATATACCATCTGGCTTTTCAGATCCTATTTTAAGTCTGTTGGGCAAGAGGTAGAAAAACACTTTTTTCAATTTTTGTCTGATTACATTTGATTTAATCCAAAATGCAGTCATTTCATAAGCCTTGTCCAAGTACCTGTAAGCCACTTGATTATTAGTAGTACTATTATTGTTATTACTATGAATACTAATAGACTTACACATGCTGATATCTAACTTAGCACAACAATTTGAAAGCTTCCTTTGGCAGTTCTCTGTTCTCGCTAACATTAACCATCTGAGCTTAAGCACAGCACTTTTGGATTGGAACAATTAAAACCCTTTCTTTGGGGAAAAATTTATGATGGTATTACTGAAGTAAAGACAGCATGCTAAATGCAGGGTTTGGGTTTTATGTGTGCTGTGCTACCTATGCAGTGTTTGCTACTCACATTGTTTTCTTGTGTTTTACTTACAGCTCAGGATCTTCAAATTGGCAAAGTCCTGGCCAGCCTTAAATACTCTTATGAAAATAATTCTAAATTCAGTTGGTGCTCTGGGTAACCTCACTCTGGTTTTGATTATCACTGTATTTATTTTTGCTGTAGTAGGAAAGCAGGTTTTGGGCCATCATTATGAGAATAATTACTGTAAAATAAACACCGATAGGAATTTACGCTGGCATATGAAGGATTTTTGTCATTCATTCCTGATTATATTCCGAATATTATGTGGAGAATGGATTGAAACCATGTGGGAATGTATGGAAGTGGCTGGAAAAGGGCTATGTCTTCCCATTTTCTTGCTAGTCCTGGTGATAGGAAACCTGGTGGTGAGTTTCAAGCTATTTTTCAGTCCCTACTGAATGCACCCCATTACATTGGCATATTTTTTTTCTGAGGCAAAATTTATAATTTGAAGAGTATTCACACTGTTCTCTTTTCTAGATATTACTTAATGTATGGGGTTTTTATATATATATATATATATATATTTCTTCTGTCTTTTTTTCCTTTTCCCCTGTGTTCCTCTTTCTCACACAAGAAGTAGTTGCTAAGCAAAATACACAAAATTATTCCTTCTTCCCAGAGTATAGAAGTGCAGTGCTTTTGATAATTTGATGTCTGATTTCTTAATCTTTTGTGTTGATAGATTCACAGACCCAAATCGTTCAGTGCTTTTAATGCTTACCAACTTACCCTTATATTGTCAAAAGTTTACAGTACCCAGACTTTCTGGTCTGTGAGACATATACTAGATCTCATGTATATATACTGGAAGATGAAATCTTTTTCATCTGTTTGGTTTGTTGGTCTTTGCCAGATCCTTTTTGATGGTGATGTTATTAAAATTTTTGCCTGCTGTTTTTCAACATATCTATCTCCTTGTACATATGAACATCAGAGCATGTGAAAATATATTTGATATACCCAAACCCTGACTTCCTTCCTTTTTCTCCTGCCTTTCCTTCCAGAAGGAGCCATATCATACTATATTAATATTCCAGTGTAATAGTAAATAATTTCACTGCAGTCATTGCTGAAAGCAAAATTGAGATTTTTTTAATCTTAGGAGGGTTTTCTGAAATGTCTTTTTTTGTCAGCAGTAGTGTCTCCAACTTACTTTAACTATTTTAAGGTGCTCAACCTATTCATTGCCTTGCTACTGAGTTCGTTCAGTACTGACTCCTCAACGGGACAAGAGGAAACAGGACAAATGACTAAATGTCAGATTGCCATTGCACGGATTCACAAGGGCCTGCAGTCTGTGAAAGACAGAATTTTGGATCGTTGCGGCAAAAGAATGAAACGAAACTTCAAAACAACAGCCAAAAAGAAAACTTTGGTGAAAATTTCTGCCACAGACATAGAGGAGAATAACTATGCCATGACAGATGTCAGAAAGAATATAAAGAACAATTGCTTTGACATTGGGTATTATAACACTGAAGAGAGTTCCTCAACAACAAGGAAATATGAAGAATTTTTAACCAGTCGTAGTACCTGTGTTCCCATTGCAGTAGCAGAGACGTACACCGATGAAGCTGATGATAGTTACAGCGTATGCACAGAAACACAATACAGAAAACAGGTAAGGTATATTAATATTTGAAAAATTATTTTAACTTGAATTTGTAAATGTAATCTTGAAGACTCAACAGTAAATGTTATGCCTTCTGTCATTTCTGCCATTTTACTTTCTTTGTTCTTCTCGTAGCTTCAAAATGCAAGCGCTACTTAATAGTCTTAGTTACTCAGTAAGATCTTGAATATCCACTTTTTCACCATTCTTCTCATTGATAGCTGTAATTCTGCTTCTATCTGTTTTGCTTCCGTTTATTGCTGTCGATTGCTAAATGCTGTTTCATCAAGACAAACATTCTTTTTGTCTCCTTTGCCTTGCAGATGGCACCTGGAATTTTTGGAAGGCAGGCCTCTTGTGTTGCTTATATGTTGCTTCTCAGTTACGTGGAATCCATAGGGAATGCAAATAAAAGCTTAATATTAAAAAAATAATTTCTTAATTCTTTTAATCACCTATTTGCCTCTATGATAGTTTGGACTCCCTTTTATATCTCTTGATTTTGTTGTGTTGGGTAGGATTAAGCTCAAGTTTGTCTGCATGTGAGGCATTTATACTGCCATAATAGTCGATAACAGTGCAATTCATTTGCCTGTACATAGGCATTTAGGAATATTTGAGATACTTCAGGTGTCTGTCACATCCACATGGGAATGACAAATAAGTCACAGGAGCTAAAGGAACTCTTTTTGGCATCTGGAGGCCAGGGGTATGTGGAAACTCCTCAGCTGACACTAGGTATCAGCCACAATTAGATTACTCCATTTAGATATCTGAATCTCAAGATTCCACATGCTACTCACCTCATAGATGTCAAGTGCCGTCTGAGGTGCCAGATTATCTCATATGGCTTCTAAATGCACCTCCAAAAAGGTATTTGTCAGTTCCTGTAAATCCTGTGCTGTATTTAACTATGCCATGTGTATGTCTTAGGTACTCTTAGGTATCTTAAAAGGCACTAAGCAGTTTAGGGCAAGCAACTGAATGAAACCCTTCGTGTCCCCACTGCATTCAATAGCGTCCCTTGCTGCATGTCCATATTACTTGTATGTTGCCCACTATTGCACTTGATGTTTTCTCCCATTTTGTTTCTTTTTTTCCCCCTTATTTTTGTTTTCTTTTCTTCTCTCTAATGATGTGTTATGCTTTCAATAAAATGGAATTTACCCAATTACTTTCCCTTGAGGAGGGCGATGTGTCTTAATTAAATTCTGTTTGTGACAGCATCATTAGTTTTATTATATGTGATGTGGTTGCTTAGAAAGGATATGAATGCTGGTTTGAGTATGATGAGCGATGTGCATTAATGCATTTTAGTTCAGAATCATTGGGTCATCCTCTGAGATTCTTTCTTGCCATATAAATATTTTTGCCTATAGAAGGTAAGGGTGATACCTTTTAGCCCATTGACAGTACCACAGCTGTGTATGAAACGTCCAGTAGTAGTTTCAGCTCAGCCCACAAAGGAGCACATGTTGATTTCTTTTAGAAGCCTGCGTTATTCACACACAGTAGTAATAAGAAGCAGCAGACTCCGATGCACCTTCCTTGCAAACTTTTGTCAGTAGGTGAACAAAAAAAATATTAACGCTTCTCAGACCTGTACTAAAGGAAGTACCAATAGAAGCTGACTTACACAACAGAATGGGTTGTTTTGCAGGTTCTTCACATAAAGCAAAGTAGCAAGCCTCTAACAGAAAGTAGCTTATGATTTTCATTTAAGTCTTTTTATTCATTTCTTCTTATTTCTCCAGCTCTACCACATTCAAGTAGGAACGAGCTTTTCTAAGATGTTGCAACTGTGCTTTTTTTCTTCATAGGTAAAAATGATGATGTAAATGTTTGGCAATATGGGATTTAGCTCATGTAAAAAACACTTTCAAATGTGTGAGCAGCAAACTCAGGTGGAACACCAGGCTTTGATGACCATACTGGACCTAGATTAGCTTGTTAAAGGTTGTATTTTATGAGTGTCAGTTGTATTATGATTGTGATATCACCATATTTTAAAACTATCAGAATATGTATTTGGGATCAAAGTGCAGTTGACTAGTGTTATGCCATGGCAGAAATGTCAAAAGCAGATACTATTTTTGGATGATTATCATATGAACAGTGTCTAGGTGGAGTGGTGGGATCTGTTTTCTCTGTTTTTGGTTATAAGAGGAGGCATTGTCAGTGGGATATCTTGTACAAGTTCTCAAAGAAACAGAAATTGCTGATCACCTTAGAATCATCAGGGGCTATTTGAAAAATGTTGTCCATAAGCGTTTGATGACAGAAATCCTTTCCCTGCTGCAGTGGAATCTGGTATTGCCTGGAATTTGTAGTGGCAAAGGGACTGAGAGACAATAGGGATCACTTAGCTCTTCTGCCTGTAACTAGAAACATGAGACTGTTGAGATCCAGCTGCAAAGGTTACTACTGAGCAGGTTTATCAGAACTTAGTGAACTGGATGCAGGAATCCATCAGAGGGATAAATGTAGATCTTGGGGAATGATATGTTCCCACAGTATAACCACTGGACCACAGTACTTGAAATCGGGGAAGAAACCATTCTTTTACATGCCTTTTAGGGATATCATTTAATTATCTGTAAAAAGACAAACATACTAAATTTGGTAGATGTCAGGAAAAGTGTGGAAAATCAACTGTTTTGCATTATTTCATTGTAGGGAGACAGATTAAGACATAGAGAACAGTGCCGGAGTTCAAGTGGCTTCAGTCAGATTTCTGGGACTTCTGAAACTCTAAGTGATTTTTCAGGAACACTCCAAAAGAAAGAGCAAAAAGAGGTAATTTTAATTTTATCATCTTGTGAATATGCTAGAGGTGAAAAGTGTCACAGCAATTCTCTCATTCAGCAATGACAGGACAAGGGATTTTCCAAAGAGTAGCAAGTATAATCCCTGTGAAGATGATACATCTCTCTAGAGGTAATAATAGTTTAAAGCATGGGAGTTTGTCTCTCATAAACAGACATGGCTGTCTGTTTATTACAGTGTAATTTCATATATTATTTTGTACAAAATAAGTAAACAGAAATTAATCAAGAAACACAATTACTTTAAACATATCTGGTACATACTATTCATTTATATAAATAATTCTGTTTGCTCTTATCCTGGGATGCAAAAATTTGTTCTCTAGAAACGGTTCCCAAAACAACTATACTTTTTCTGGTCTAGAAACTTAGCTTATTCTGATACAGTACAGTTCCACATCAAAAAAGGTGAAGATCATGGCTTGCATCCAGTGAGCCAGAAAATTAAACCGAAGTTCAGCAGCTTGCTGGACTACTACCTCCAAATGTCAAACCACTTCAGTGTTTTTTGGTTTTAGATACAGTTGCCATAAGTTTTGTTTGTTATATGTTATTTAATTGTGTTTATATTAAAAAAAAATTAAAATATTAAAATGGCTGTGAATTTAAATAATTGCATTTTGTCTATGTTGAAGATTCCCTAGGACCTTAAGTTAATATAGAGCAGCATGGCTGTCAACAGAGGCAGTTCTCTCTTCTTCTGGCTTCTTATTCTTGTCTCTACCCTCATGCCTTCCCTTTCCATGTCATACAGGGCACTTACGCTTTATGACTGATAGATTGCTTTATTCCTTTTTCTTTATACTTATTTTCCTTATTATATTTAGTTTTAGAGGTGTGTAGGTTACCTACCAATAACTACAATTCTTTGAGCTGCATAGACCATATGTGCATTTCTTTCCTACTAGGCCTTCCCATCTTCAAGCCTTTAGAGACATGGTTTGTAGCTCTGAAAATGAAAAGAGAACTGGATTGGCATGAAGAAGTCAGAGTTTTCTCCAAAGTAAAGTTAGTAGTAGTATAATATAATCTCTTCTAAACATTTTCCTTCCTGCAAGTCCAATGTGTAGATGACTAGAAGAAACCAAGAAAGTTATTAAATTAAAGCCATGGAAACAGAGAGTAGAGATTAGCTTTTTCTGTCCTATTATTTGTAATTTTATTTTGGTAGTTCAGCAACATTAAATAATTTAAATTTTGGGGGGAGGATGAAAAGTTTCATTTATTTTAAATCTGGTAACCTTATTAATGAAAAGCAAATAAATTCTCTTCTTTGCCCTTGTCCTGTGCAGAAATGTGATGCTGGTAGCTATTCAGAAGCCAGCACTGTGGATCCAGTAATTCTTTTGGAGATGTTTTGCCAGCCTAAAAAATCACACCTACCTAAGGACTGTTTTGCAGAAAGTAAGAATCTTCTATGTATTGTGGTGACTCCAAATGAACCAGTATTCAAATATATCAGTTTGGAACATTAACAACTTTGCAGAAACTGTTTGCCTGAGACACTCGTTTATAAACATAAAAACTCAAAATAAATATACCTGAAGCCAGAACTGAAGCAGGATTGGGATGCCTGAACACAGGCATTTAGTACCATATGAGATGCCTGAGGGTATGCAAGAGCATGAAGCTGACAGAACTGTCACAGAAGTTGTAGAATATCCAGAGAGGCCTAAAATCGTTCTAAACACCTGTGTTTCGGTAGCAAAATGCCAACTTTGGAGTGTGATTCAGTCTTATACAGGTACCTAGTGTCTGATGCCTCAGTATATGAGCAAAGGCACTCAAAGCACTTCTGAAGGGACAGCTGGAGATCAGTTAGGATATATACCTGCTATCTTAAATGACACTTCAACTGAATTTGTCTGAGCTCCCAGTAATGTGGATGAGTATCTGGTCAATACAGCTAATGGAATTCAGAGGACTGTACAGCTCATCCCAATATGGACATCTACCTTTGATTGCCTGAACAGCACCTTAGACTCCGTTTGGCTCTCGTGGTTCAATCCTACTGCCTTTACAAATTAATAAAGAAGTGTGTTTCTGGTGCAAAACAGTGAACAGAAAATCTACCTGTAACATCTCTGTAGTGCAATCAAGTGAAATAATCAGTAAAAATAATAATTCACTAAACCACTAGTAAGGTCATGTCTCTTTTAAAAAACAAAGGAATAAAAGCAGAAAATAAAATAAGAAAGATTTTTTACAGATGTAATGGCTTTTCTGTGTCCACAAGACATTCTGCAGAAGGGCTTGTGGGCATAAAAGCTTTTCTGCTTTTTCCATGTATGAGTTGCTCTATTAAAAGAGATAATTTTCGCCTATGAATTTTGTCTTTTCTTTAGATTTAGATATTTTCAGCCACAGCATCACCCCATAGATAAAACAGCACATTCTTTGATTAGTCTGCAGAAGCTTATTTTAAGATGTCTTACACTTTTTAGATTTCATGTCTCCACATTTTCCATAGAACCAATATGTTGTTCTTTCTCTTTTCAGGTTGTGTTGAATGTTTCCCATGTTGTGAAGTGGATATCACTAAGTTTCCAGGCAGAATTTGGTGGAAATTTAGAAAAACCTGCTACAGAATTGTTAAACATAGCTGGTTTGAAAATTTTATAATTTTTATGATAATATTGAGCAGCGCAGCACTGGTAAGTTGAATTTAATTTCTCAGATTTTGTATTGATGGTTGTCAGTAAAGGAAAATAATCGTATTATTATATTTAATTTATTTCTTCTACTTTCACATTCCTTTTCCCAGGGAGAGACAAGAGTATAATAAATGTATCCCTTAGAAGTTATAAGGCTCTTCCTGACTTGGATAAGATATTTAAATATAAGGAAACATAGTCTTCTTCATAGTTCTTCATGGACGATAGTTCTTCATGCACTTGTGTGCTTAATTAGGAGTCCAAACCAGGGTCTGAAATTACTTAAGAAAGCTTAAAAAAATAAAAGTACTTCAAAATTTGTAAAGCAGACTAACTGCTCAGTAAAAATTTAGATTTAAAATCATCCAAACATTAAGATGATCAGAATCTGAAAGTGAAGATGGCTGTAAACTGGTGAGTTAATGGTTCATTGCTACTCTGAATATATCCATTTCAACTGAATAATAAGGGAAGTTTTATTTGATTGAAAGCATATTCACTGTGAAAAGACTGCAAGTCTTACTGCAAGTAATTTTTTAAACAAAACATTATATAGTGCAGAAGGAACATAACCAACCATGTGTGAAAGTGATCTATGTGGTAGATGTCAGAATTTTCCAGATAAAATCTGTTCTGTGTGCATCAAGTTTTGGTTGTCCACTGAACCATAGATATGAACTGTCTGCTTTAAAATTTCTGTGGCAAATTCTCCAAGGGATTCCCATGAAGGCTTCTCTGTACTCAAGTGGAACCAAACTGAAATAAGGAAGGAGACTGAGTTATTATTTAATGTACTGTAGGATCTGGCTAAGTTGAACACAAAACTAGTTGGTATCCAGATGCAAAATAAAAATAAGAATTTCTTTTTGTCAAAGATGTATTGTGGTGTTGAGAACTGCCACATTTCTAAGATCCTGTTGTCCTCTTGCAAAAAGGGACTTGTCCATTCTCTCTGTTTGTTTGTAGTTGTTTGCTGATACAAAATTTCCTGAACCAGCTACAATGAAGGGTTACCATACCATCAGGCATGTCCATGGCCTGAAAGTAAATTAAATTAGGTGGTGATCATAGAACGAATGCATAGAAAAGTGTGTGATGAGTGCTCAGTGCTCAGAGCAAAGGAAGAGTTAGTAGTTGGAAGTCTGAAAAAGCATCACTCCTAATGACTGAGTGATTTGACTAGTAGATGGAAATCAAGGTACACTGCAGAGCAAGAGTGCATAAATTTAATCAGATTGTTGGTAACTATAAATAGGAGCATCTCTGCCCTGTGTTTTTTCAGTGGGAATGTGAAATAGAAACACAGCAATGATTTTTACATGAGTTTATTGTTTCAGGTCTCACTTGATCTAAAGATGATCACAAGATCATCTAGATCTTGGTTATACTCCTGCTCCCCCTTACCCGTGGCCTTTTAGATTGGCTTTAGCATGTCATAAACACAGGGGAGCAAATCAGGTCTGCTATGATACCTAAATAAACATCTTCTCCCGAGCACTGGAGACACATAGCAGATGCACTCAGGTGTTTCTGTAAGAATCATTTAATGGTTTAATGTGACCGGTGGTAACTTGTAACTGTTAAAGCCCACTGTAGCTGAGCTAATCCTTGCAAAACCATTGAGGTGTCTTTTCTACCATACTCCCCTGAACCAAAGGTCTGTGGGCCATCTGGGTCAATCTCCCATGTAACACAGCCTGCTATTTCTTTAGAGGGTGTTGACTGTTAATGAACTTATTAAAAAACAATAGCAAAATACGAGATTTCACAGTCAGGTAAGGAGCTGTTAAGTGAAGAGCTGATCTAGATTGAAACTGGATATGGATTAAAGTTTTGACACCCTCTGTTCAGTTCCTGACCTTTGTCACAAACTACAGCCATGTGACTTTGGGCAAATGAGTTGATATCTCTGTGCTTCATTTGGTGTTCTATAAAATGAAGATGTTGTGTTCCAGCATCCCAAGAATCACACAGAAACACTAGGTTGGAAAGG